CCTCCGCTCCTCTGGGGGGGGTGGGTTTCCTTCCCCCCCAGCCGCTGTTTCTCGGCGTGCGCTTCGTCCCAGCGGCCGTTCTCCATCAGGCGCTGGTCGGGGCGCCGGCGGCTGTCCGTGGGCGCCCTGCCCCTCTCTTGGCTTGAGCGTCAACGCCAGCTCCGAAAAGTAGTACATGTTCTCTGCGTATTTCCTACGGCGGGGGGGGGGAAGGATGTGAGGCCCCCCCCCCGCGGGGGTCGAGGGAATGGATCTCAGCCCCTCCGCCGGCGGGCTTCACACCCGACCCCGCTCCCCTGCCCTTTGCCGGGGGCCCGGAGCTGTCCCCCAGCTCTTGGGACACCCTGTCCCACGTCCCCTACTCACGGGAGCGGGTTCCTCTTCCACAGCAGCACCCGGCTGTCCTCGGCCTCGTGGGGTCTCTGCCGTCCCTCTGCTCCGTTGTCCCCAGCGCCCAGCGTCACCTTGTAGCAGTCCATCTTCTCATCCCAGGTGCCCAACAGGACATAATGCACCTTCCCCGCGGGGTCTGTCACCTCCCCGGTGACCTGGCGGGACAGGGGACAGCCTGAATTAGGACACCCAGGAGCCACAAGCTGCCCAGCGCATCCCACGCTGCCCGCCCAGCCTCCCCGTCATCCCTACCTTCCTCGCCACGTCCCGTGAGAAGTAGCTGTAAGGAACGAACTTGAGGTTGCACTTGTCACCCGTCTTGTGATTGACGATCTCGATCTCACCCGACTGCGGAGGGGAGGAGGAGGAGGAGACGGTCAGATCCAGCCCACGGCCCTTTCCCCGGCGGCAGAGGAAACTGAGGCCAGGGGGATCCACGTCTCTGTACAGGGGTCCTGGGATTTCATCCCACCTGGTCTATCCAGAGCTTGCCCACAATGATGTTGTGCACGGTGGTGGTGACCTTTTTCCACGTGTAGTGGTTGCCGGAAGAGTGGAAGACGCAGTGGATGGTACCTGAGGAGGGAAGGTTGTGCTGGGAATGGTCCCCGGGAGCCTGCCTGGCCCACGGAGACTCGGCTGGTCCCCAAACCTGCCCCGCTCCCATAGAATCACAGAATCATTTAGGTTGGAAAAGACCTTTAAGATGATCGAGTCCAACCGCTAACCCAGCTTTGCCAAGGCCACCACTAACCCATGGCCCTAAGCACCACATCTACCTGGCTTTTAAATCCCTCCAGGGATGGGGATTCCACCCCTGCCCTGGGCAGCCTGGGCCAGGGCCTGACAGCCCTTGCAGTGAAGGAATTTTTCCTAATATCCAACCCAAACCTGCCCTGGCGCAGCTTGAGGCCGTTCCCTCTAGCTCCCCCAGCCGCTCCTCCCCAGCCTTGGGCTCCAGCCCCTGCCCCAGCCTCGCTGCCCTGCTCTGGCCACGCTCCAGCCCCTCCATGGCCTTCTCACAGCGAGGGGCCCAAAACGGAACACGGGATTCGAGGTGCGGCCTCCCCAGTCCCACGCGCAGCACAGACATCCGACCTCCCCAAGCGTCTCCCCCCGTGACGCGCGTGCCCGCGGAGCTCACCCAGAGGCATGATGGAGAGGTATTTGCCCCGAAATTTGCTGGTGATTTTGATTTCCTGGCGAAGCGTCCAACCGTGCTTGGAGTCAGCGTGGTGGGCAGCGGCCGGCGGGTGGTGGCTCACCTGGCCGGGAGAGGGGACAGGTCAGCGCCAGCCACCCTGAGCGGGCTGGTGGCCTGAAGGAGCGGGGCTAGCGGTACCTGCTCGCAGAGGGAGCGGTAGCCGTTCTCCTCCAGGCGATCCAGCTCAAAGGTCTCCCCTAGGAGGGGATTGAAGGGCTTGCTGGTGCGGAAGACGGTGGTGGAGTAGGACGAGACGGTGAAGGCGGCCACATAGCACAGCTGCTCCAGCGAGCTCTCACACTTGGCCGCCCGGTCGAGCAGCTCGTGGTACTCCAGGTCCTCCGTCAGGCGCTGCAGCATGGACAGGGGCTCGTTGAAGTTCACCTGGAGGGGAGCGAGAGGTAAGAGGGGGGTCCTGGGGTGCCCCGTGCCCACCCAGCAGCCCTGCCGGCTGCATCCCCGGCTCACCGGCATGGGGATCTTGGACAACTCCTTCCCGATGCAGTTTTTCATGATGCTCCAGAGGTTGAGGCTGTAGTTGGGTTTGTAGGGGATGCGGGTTCTCTTCTCCTTCTTGGTGTCCTCAACCTGGTGCTTGTACTGGGGGCGAGACGAGGGTTGCTGCAACGCTGCTGTGACCCCCCCCACCCCTCCCCGGGAACCGGGGCACCCCCAGCCCGGCCTCGCAGCCAGCCCCCCTGCCAGCCCTACTCCTCCAAGAGCCGGCTCAGCACAGGACGCCGGCAGAAAGCCCCCATCCTACCTGCTCATCCAGGCTGATGTCGCTGCTGGTGCCGCTGATGTTGCTGCCGGTGCGCCTGGAGGGGACGAGGAGAGGGGCAGAGTCAGGCTCGAGCGGGGTTTGGGGGGCGGGAGGGCAGCCCCGTGCCCCAGCACTCACTTGTGGCCCATGCTCTCCGGCATGGTGATGATCTCCGGGGCGTCGAAGAACTCGTTGTCATCGTCCTCGTCGCTCAGGTCTCCTTTTGCAGGGCAGCAGGGATCTGGGCGGGGTGCAGGAGAGGACACTTGAGGCAGCGAGTTCAAGGTTTCTCCCCATTTCCCCCAGCGGGTACTGGAGGGTCCCTTGTCACCACCAGCCAGGTGAGGGGCCATGACACGCCACCCCTGCGGCAGACAAGGCTTAGGAGGAGCAGGGGCAGAGCGAGGAGGGGCAGCAAGCTGCCTGCTGTGGGGGCCGCAGCCGCTCGGCTGGGGAGGGGGGGCCCGAAACAAGGCTTAGGAGGAGCAGGGGCAGAGCGAGGAGGGGCAGCAAGCTGCCTGCTGTGGGGGCCGCAGCCGCTCGGCTGCGCAGGAGAGACCGAAAAACCCATCCCTCGGGGTCAGCAACGCAAAGGAAGCTGAGCCCGGCTCAGGAAAAGGACTGGAAGCAACTGGGGGTTACCCCAGGCACAGAGCTGGTGGCTTCCCCTATCCCTGTCCTGCACCATCAGCTCCGTCTGCCCCAATCCGTCCCCCAGCATGCAGTGCAGGGGCTCCGGTCGAACCGGCGGTACCTTTGGCGGAGCCGCCGGTGCCGGACGCGCTGGCAGGCAGGACGGTGGCACCGCGGAAGGCCCTTTCCAGGTGGTTGTGCTGCTTGGCCAGTTGCTCCAGCGTCTCCTCCAGCCGAATGCGCTGGTCCCGCTCATGTTGCAAGGATTTTTGCCACTTCTTGCTGTGGGTCTGGGCCAGCATCAGAAAATCCCGGCAAGCCTGCAGGGAGAGGGTGTCCCATCAGCGAACGGTCGGCGTGCGGGGGTCAAATCCCTCCTGCGGGACCCCCCTGCCCTGCCCCACGGGGTGGGGTGCGGACTCACGTTGATCATGGCGTTGGAAGTGATGCGGAAGAGGGTGGCTCGCTCGTTCACCTGCTTGATCTTCTCGGTGCTCTCGACCGGCAGCCGGAGAGTCTCCAGCTCGCTGAGGGAACGCTGCAGGGCCGTGCCGTGCTTGGCAATCAGGTCGTTGCAGGTGCTCAGATCCTCCACCTTGCTGGAGAGGGTGCGCAGCGTGCTCTGCAGCTCTGTTTTGTCCGTTTGCGACACCGACTCGTCGCCGGAGTCATCTGCCAGCGGGAACAGACGTTAGCGTGGCCCCGCGGGACCTCTCTCCTCCCAGGAGATGGGGAAGAAGGTGAAGCTGCGCGCTGGGAGTAGCGGGAGCGCCTGCCCTCTGAGCCACACCAGGCTCTGACCGCGGGGCTGCCAGGGCGGGCACAGCAAGAAGCCCCCTCTCGCTCCCCAAGGGATGGGAGCCGCACACAGGGCGCTCCCGGCCACGGCATCCCGGATGGCGATGGCGCGGCAGGGAGCGGCAGCTCGGAGCAGATGGCCGATCTCCCAGCATACGAGCAGTCACGCTAGCGAGGAAGCACGTGCCAGGCTGCTGGCGGCGCCTCAAGCCGAAGCCGGGCAGCGGCACTGTGCCGCCGAGCTCACACGTGGATGGACACGGCCGCCCCTTCCAAACCCTGCTCGGGGAGCAGCTGCCAGCAGCCGGGGCCCCGTGCTGCGACGCCGTCCCTGGGCAGCACCCCAGCCGGGCACGGGAGATGGCTGGGGAAAAGCAGGTTGCGTTTCTGGCCCAGCAATGAGCAAAGAAGCCTTGGGAACAGGGAGGGGATGAGGAATCGTGTTCTGCAGAGCTGCAAAACAGCCCCTGGGCCCAAGGAGCGGGACCCACACGGGTGTAGCAGGGGGCTGACGCGTGCTGCGTGGCTCCGCAGGGCTGGGGACACACACGCCGGCTCACGCGAGGGCTGTGAAGGCACCCTGGCGCGCGAGGGCCGTACCTGATTCCTCCAGCATTTTGACAGCTTTGGCCTTGGCCAGCTCCAGGGCAGTGACCCAGCGTTGCCGTTCCACCTCCGAGCTGGCCTTCAGGTGGTAAGTCTGGGCCCCGCCGTTGGAGATGATAAAATTGCAGGAATCCTCCACGGTGATGTTGGCCGTGGCCAGGTTGATGGTGCCGCGGCAAGTGTGCCGCATCTCCGCCTTGGACCTGCGTGGGGGAAGCAGGACGGGGGCACAGTGAGGGGGCTGGAGGAAGGAGGTGACTAGTAGCCCAGCCCGGCCGGGAGCCGAGCCCTTGGGGGCCATGGAGGGGGCCTGGCATTCCCCACCCCACAGGCAGGACTATTAATAGGGCACCGGCTCCAGCCCCCGGCGGTTTTGCCAAGCCGGCTGGGCAGGCACGCAGCCGGCGTGAGGTTTCACCGCCAGCGCCGGAACAGGGCCAAGGGCTGGCAACGCCGCTTCGGGGGAAGAGTGCGGGGAGGGGTCGGCGGCCCCCGGCACAAAGGCGGGGCTCAGCAGCCCCCGGGACCACCGCGCTCCCCCCCGGTGCCTCCCGCATCCCGGCACGGCTCGGGATAGAGGATGAAGTCCCCGGCGCGGTGCGAGGCCGTGCCAGCCCGGCACACCCCTTCCACGTCACCGGGCCCGGGCCTGCCGGCCGGGGGAAGGAGGGAGGGAGGGAGGGAGCCAGCCTGGGACTCCCCCAGCCCGGCCCGGCTGTAACTCGAGCTGGCAGCTGCCCGCAGGCTCCGGTTCCCCCATGAATAATGGAGGGCCCAAGAGGGACAGGGCCCCCGGGGCCGGGCTCAGGTGTCCCCTTGGGGACCAAGCGGTGGCACAGCGGGGAAGGGGGGGCTGTCACCCCCCTACCGAGCCGCCAGGCCGGCTCCCCCCCCGGACAGCCCCCCGTGCTCCCCGGGGA